GAGTTTTCCGATAAAGCTTTTGCTAGTCTGATAAAAAAGGACAAGTGTAGTTGATCCTGTCCCTTTCCCGCTTCTTTCAGCCTTAAACATGGCTGTGATGCCTGGAGCTGGGACAGCCATTCTGCAACCATGAGGCAACAAGCATGAAAAATAGGCCAACCTAGTTACAAATATTCCATTCCCAACTTTGCTGAGCTGCTAACACCAGTCATTGTCTACCTGTAAATCTCTTGTTCAAGCCACAATCAGGTTTTCTGTTACTTTCAACCAAATGCATTCCTGACTTAGTCAGAAGGAAGGTACTTAAAAATGAAGATCAGTTATCAAAACCCAAAAGCAAATGTTATTATAAGTAATAAAATGCAAAGCTATTTCAATTAAAATCAAGCAAGAACTGCACAGAGATGCTTCCTCCTGCCACTATTATTCAACAATTTTCTTGAAGGCTCTAGGGAATGCAATAAGACAAAAACAAAACAAAGCAAAAAACAAAACAAAAAAAAGTAAAACGACAAAAATAGTAAAACATAGTGCAATAAATGAATTCCCCAAATTCAACTGCGTGGAATGTGGAGTTGTATTTTTATGAGTTGGTGAAATGAGATCAGTTGTGCAGCCGGTTGGGCATTTGGGGACTGGGCTGTGCTCTCTAAGTTAATTGTGTCCTAGTTGTAGTCGGGTCCTACTTGATAGAACTTGTGTGTTCCAGCCTAGATCTCTGCGGGCTGGGCTTTCCAGGACATTGGCAATAAATCCAGAAATTTCCCGTTATTTGGTTTCTGTCTCATTGGGGAGGTTGGTCCCGGAGAGTACTAGGGATGTAGGGCTTCGCTGTTCACCTGCCTTCCATCTCCTCCACCCGCCCAGAAAAGCAGTTACCTTGTTCCCCTTTGAGCTCAATTGCTGATGGTCTCACAGAAGAATTCACGTTATCACAGAGTGCATTATTGTTGGGTTTGTAATTAATATATGCAGTGAGAAAAAAAGATAAAACTTTTTGAATACCATGTGACTATTTTCTCTGAAAATCTACAAGAACTAATAGAGAATTTGCTCAAGTGTTTGGATACCAGCTAAATGTACAAAATCAATAGATTTTCTCCATTTTATTAATACTCAGGCAAAGCTTAACAATTTCATTAATAGTAGTTACAAAAACTATAACATACCAATGAAAATAATTAACAGAAGATACAGTTTCTACAAGAAAAGAATGTTATTTGAAAAAATGAAGAGTTATGCCATATTCTTGGATGGGAAGACATGATTATTGTGAAAATGTCAACTCCCCCAAATTAATATAAATGTAATGCAATTTCATTTAGAAACCCAACAGTGTTCTGTTTGTATGCTTATTTTGAATAGGATAATGTGATCTTGAAGCATATTTGGAAGAATAATTGTATCTGAGGTTGCTAAAAAATACGAAAAACAATAGTGAGAGGATCTTTCTATTATCACATTATCTAATGCTAAAACCACTGTAGTAAAACCAACCTGATATGAACATGATGATAAAGAGAGAGTGGAGTAGACAATCCAGAAATGGATTCCACTCAGTGGGAAGTGCTGGATTTATTTAATCGAAGATGTTGGCCCAACTCGTTCTCCATGTAGAGGAAAGTCAATTTGGTTCCCTAACGCATAGTCTAGAATAAAATTCTGAGTGGATTCAACAGTTAATATAAAAAGAGAACAATAAAAATTATAAAAGGAATCTGGGAAAATGCAAATACAATCTGTGATTTGGGGAAAATTTATAATTAAGACTGAAAACTCAGAAAATATAAAAGAAAAGAGACACATTTGACTATATAACGTAAAGAAAATATAGATTAAAAGTGCATTAGATAGACAATGTATTAAAATCTATATACACAATGATCTCTTACAAGTTTGACAAAAACATAAAACAAAACCCAAAAGCCAAAAGAAAAATGCACAAAATGATATGAGTTGGCGCTATGGAACAGCAAATGCTATTGACTAGAAACGTAAAAAAATGCTCAAATTCACTAATTGGGAAATGAGTTGCTACTATGTGAGCTCCTGCTTTAGATCCTACTTTAGACGGACAAAAGTTAAAAACAATGATAACACTTACTGCTGCCAGGCATGCAGAGAAATCTGAATTGCTACTAGAAATGTGAATTGCTAATACCTTTATGGAAAATGTTCATTACAACAAAAATATACTCACTCTTCAAACCTGCCCTCTACAAAATGTAATCTCATGAGAATGTACTCTATAGAAATAAAAGGTTTCAGTTAAGAATATTTATTGTTACATTGTTTATAGGGCAAAAAATTGGAACAAGATGAATGTATCTGTCAGGATTGATAGAAAATACACGAAATAGAAATTACTCTATTTTAGGTAGAAAGGGATTTAATACAAGGAATTAGGGGCTTGTACACTCTTTGGAAGAGCTGTGACTCCTAGAACATCACAGAACTGACCCATCAGGGGAACTACCAGCTCTGAGGCCTCCCCTGAGACGATGCTGAGGTCAAGAACCCACCGCTGTTGTCATTGCTTGACCTTTTGGACACTGAGAAGCTAGAGACCACCTACGGCTGCAATCCACAAAGTGGCCCCTAGCGTTAGCCCACAATTACTTTCTGACACCCAGAAGGCAGGAGAATGGACACGAGCGTCCTCTGAAAGGAGACTCAACATTTGCATGACCTCATTTGCCAGCAGAAAGAGCCCAAAGGGACGGGAAAATGACCTCCATCTTACCTCTATCTTTCCACCCTTATGTGATACCATCTAACTGGTGGCATCCGTTTGCTCAAGACGTCAAGGCAGTGGTGGGAAATAGAGTTTTTTGGTTCTTAATTTCTCTTACTAGGAAGAGAGTTGCAACGGAGATTAAATGACTCAATCCACAGTAATGAGCACACGCAATCATTATAAAGAGTGAATTAGAACTGCTCTGGCTGATTTGGAAGTATTTCTAAGAGATATTTTGAGTATTAAGAAAGGCAAGATGCAAAGAAGTGTGTGCAAAATGATTCTACCAAACCCAACCCCTTCCCCAGATGTTTGTGTGCGTGTGTGTGTGTGGGAGGGGTGGGGGTAATATAGTGAAGATGAGGAGCAGAAGAGGAAAGAAAAGCCAAGCAAAAAAAAAAAAAAAGAAAAAGTAAAAGACCATACTATTAAAAAACTCAGCATGTATCATATTATCATGTTTATGTAAAATTGTGTGTATGTGATTTTATGAACGTGGAGAAAAATATGGAAAGATACACTAGATTGTTAACACATGCTACCCGTGTGTGTGTTGGAGGAGACGGAAATGGAGGAGGCAAGCAAAGAAAGAGAAGAAATACTGTCCTAAAAACTCAAGCGTATATATGACCCAATTCATGTACACATATATTTATGTGCGTATATATGACACTGATTGAAAGAAATAGAATGAAAATTAGGATTAAGTCTACATCTTATGATTATATCTATATCTACTGACTTGGAGGGTGAATAGGTTGCTGTAGAAATGGCCCCCAATGAATCAGCCCTCTCTATATCCACACCCTTGTGTAGACTCTCTCGCTTTGACCCTGGGTCTGGCCTTGTGACTTATTCTGGCTGATGGGACAAGCCTTATGCAAGCAGAGGCTTCCAGCTGTGCGTTGGGCTTGCCCTCTTGGAATGCTGCCACCATGTGAAGAAATCTGCTGAACACGTGTTGCCAAGCTGATGGCCAGCACCAACTGTCAACATGTGAGTGAAGCCATTTGGACTATTCATCTGCCAAATGACTGTATTCACATGAGTGACCCTAGATGACACCAGCAGAAGAACTGTCCTGCTGAGCCCTGCCCAAATTGCTAACCGCTGGAATCATGGGGAAATAAATGGTTGCTGTTTCAAGGCAGGGGTTGGCAAACTTTTTCTTAAAGGGCCAGATAGTACATATTGTAGGCTGTGAGCCCTACAATCTCTATCACAATTTTCTTCCTCTCGTGTTGTGGGGCAAGAGCAGCCATAGACAATATGGAAGTGAATGGGCATGGCTGTGCTCCCATAAAACATTTATTTACAAAGGTGGCTGGTTCACAGGCCCTAGTTTGGCAACCCTACACTAAATTAGTCAGCGACGCAGCAGTTGCTAACCGATGCAGAGGGATGTCCGTGATACTGTCAAGTGAAAAAGTCAAACTGAAGAGTAATGTACAGAGTTTGATTCTTTTTTTAAATTTTGGCAAAAAACTCCAAACCAAACTCAGAAACCTCCTGTATGTGTGCATGTCTGCATGAGTATGTGTGCATGAGTGAGGATAAGATCCAGAAGAATACACATCAGCCTCCTGACTCTGGGTTCCTCACAGTAGTGGATTACTGGGTGTAGGCATGGCGGAGGAGGGGTATGCTGAGATGAATAGCCATTTTTTCATACAATTTTATGTTGTTTTTTGTATTACAGTGAGCATATGACTTCCAAACTTGGAAAAATTAAATAAGAAAAGAATGAGAAATAATTAAATGCCTCGAAATTTCTGTTTGATATGGTCGAAGACCAGGTAAAGCTAATGATGCTGTCCAAAGGCACCTCTGGCTCTGTCCACAGCAACCTCATCACGAAAGGGTGCTGGCATTTGCCCTGTGGCAGGAGCGAGATGGTTGGGAGTGGTAGGAAGAATGCGCGTGTTGAGGAAGAGGGGTGAATTTTCTGTTTGAATCATTTCTATGCTTGGATTTTCTCAAGGCAGAGCAGAAGCCTGAAAGTCATGGTCTTTGACTAGTGGCCTGGACGTCTAAGAATTTATAGAGTCCGTCAACCCCGATTCCTCTGACTAAACCACTTTGAGTTGAGCCTCTGCTCTTGGTCAACGATTGTCTTTAGGGCTTTGCCATTGAACACCCTGCTGTAACAGCCAGGCCTTCTGACGAGCTCTCACAACCATTATCCATGAGCCGTGGGAGCCTCGGCTACAATTTGTGAGAATCTGTCCTCATTGGAATGTGGAATTTCTTCTTTTCTCTGCAGAAAACCTCTCTTGATTGATCGTTGCTGTTGTTGTAAGAAGAAAATCATTTACAAGAAGGATCGCTGAAGAGCATAGCAATTAACAGAAAAAGTGCTTAACAGCCTCGGCCAGCAATTCCCTGCCCAGTTAGTGAGTGTGGGCGGTGAATGTGGATGAGCCCAAGTGGAATGTTCTGGTGAGTCCTCTGGCCCTCTGACACTCAGTCATCCCCTCACAAAAAAGCTAGTAGAGCCAATCTAAAAGAAATTGCTCTTGGCCCCAGACGATTGAGAATTTGAACATGTGTGGAAAACATGACCAATACAATGGGGTGGAGGAATTTTTGGGGGGAGAGTTAAGAGAAACTCTTTGATCAATTCTAGTAGTATTTCATCTACATATATATGATACATAGGCATATATATGTGTATATAATCCATAGGCATATCTGTACATACACACATATATGCCTATTAATGTATATGTATGTCTCATAACACACATGTACACGCATACACACACAGCTTATACTTATCTTGCATGATGTTTTTAGCTTCGTCAGAGCAATTTGATTTCTACTATCTCATTACAATCAGCCTACCGACTTCTTCGTAACTACTTGTGTCAAACTTTGGTTTAGTTTGTCTATATGTGAAAATAATTTCATCGATTGATGATGTCATGTTGTTGTGACAATAAATTTTGAAGAAGTTGAGTTAGTCTCTGATTCCAAGATTTCTCCATGGCAAGGCAAGAAGAGAGAGGGGGCATTTGTCCCCAGGCGCCAGGCAGTAGAGGTGCATCAAAGGGGCTGGTTTGCAAGCGCCAGCCTGGCAGCCACAGCGGCGGAGTGGGAGGGCACTAACGCCCCTTCTTCTGTCCTCTGTGAACCAAAGGTAAGAAGCAGGAATAAAATACACAGAGGGAGTTAGAACTGTCAAACTCAGGCGTATTTTAAGGACATGGAACAGTACTCCCTTTGGGGATTTATCTATTTTTAGTTTGTTTTTTGTTTTTTGTTTTTTTGAGGAAGATTAGCCCTGAGCTAACTGCTGCCAATCCTCCTCTTTTTGCTGAGGAAGACTGGCCCTGAGCTAACTTCCGTACCCATCTTCCTCCACTTTATACGTGGGATGCCTACGACAGCATGGCTTTTGCCAAGCGGTGCCATGTCCGCACCTGGGATCCAAATCGGCAAACCCCGGGCTGCTGAGAAGCGAAACATGTGAACTTAACCGCTGCGCCACCAGGCCGGCCCCAAGTGTTTGTTTTTAAAGCAAAGAAAAAGAATGCCATCACAACTGAAAAGAATTTTATGCAACAAAACCAGGTTTCAAGAATTAGTTTGGAAAAAGTTCTCCCACCATGTCACAGGGGTTGGAATACATGGCCGTGAAGCTCCTCTCAGCCCAATTTCCATGGTTTCTTTGAGTGTGGGTTTATATGACCGCCACATCAACAGGACATGACATCATCAGGTATACCTGATGTCAACCAAGCCCCAGAGTCCCCTGTCCCTGTGCAGGCTGGTCTTGTTTTCACATCTGAACTGAGCTGCATCTTGGCTCTAAGACTGGTTTATATGCTTCCCTGGTAAGCCAGAGGAACTTCAGTATTGGAAATTTGCACACAAAGGGATTCTAGGATTTCCCTTGTCCCACCTGCACCAGGGTACAATGGCCTTCTCAATGCTTTGCTAGGAGTGACAAAAACAGTAGCCAAAGTTGGGAGAAATGTAGTCCTTGGCGTGGGTGCATGTGTACAATTGTGTTGTATGGGGTCAGTGAGAAGAGAGGGAGAAAGGTGGCCCATTTGGGACAAGAAGACGGATTTTCAAGGACCCTTGGTTTGTCTTCTGGCCTTCACGCCCCTTTGCCAGCATTGGATGTGGAAGGGCCTGAGAGAAGGCAGAAGGGAGATTTTAATGAGCCCATAAAGCTTCCTATTGTGTGCATCTCCTTTGGAGCCTCAGTGTGGCTGTCTGCCTCATATCGCTGGCTTCAGAGTCAGCGCGGGAGGGGAGGCCCTTATTCCCCTGCAGGAGCAGCACAGGGTGGAGGTCCAGTGCATGGACTCTGGAGCTGGACTCTTACTAGGTGCATGACCCTGGGCAAGGCACTCACCCTGCTTGTGTTCCTTCATGTGTTACAATGAAGAAAGTGATATGCTTATGAGGATTAAATTATATCTTCGTATGACCATAGAGTATTACACGCACCTAATAACCTAAGTATTTAATAAATCACTTCATACATGTGTTGTTTCTCACCAAGCATTTATTGAGCTCCTTCTGGGCATCTAGAGGCAGGTCAGGGCTAACTCCTTAACCCCCCAAGAGTTCATTACCCATAGTCTCAGTTTTTCCTGAAGTATCTGGGAAAGTATTTGTCGGAGGTGTGCTCCCAGTTTAAGAGAGTGGCTGAATCGAAATAAGCCTGATCATCTGGGACAAGGAGGTGGCAGTCCCTGAGGACAGGCCAGGGGATGGAAGCAACTAAGAGTAGCGTCTTGTTATCCAAATGCTGCTCTTGAAGAACCTTCGATGACGGAGCGAGTTCTCTTTGTTAGTGAGACTTGTACTTTCCACGCAAAGGTGCCACTCATCCATAACATTTATTCCGCCATTATCCAGTCATAGAGCGCTGACGACAGTCCTTCATTGGTCCCCTGAGAGGAATCTTCTCCAGCTCTCCCCACATGGCAGAGAACAGGAACCAGGCTGCTGACTGGGGAGGGCAGACGCATAATCGCTCAGCTTGTATTAGCACAGAATGGGGAAAGTGACAAGTCTGCAGTTCACGTTCTTACAGAGATGATGAGCTGTCTCAAACCAGCAATTTGGCTAAAAAAAGAGTCTGCAAGACTCCAAGTAAATTTGTCACTTTATGTTCCCCTCCTCTTTCCTAAGTGTTAATGCAAGTTTGCAGTTGAATATCAGATATTCTGAAATCGCGTTTCCTGGCATTCATTGATGCTACACTGAAAGCAGAATGCTAAGCACAGTGTATTTTTCTCTTGCACCCAAATGAATCTTGGAACTGTATACATATACGTACATCTTCTCTTTCAATTATTCTTTTTGCTTCGGCTTTACAGTCTGACCCAGATACCATCTCATTTCATGTAATTCTTCAAATGTTTGTTTAGCCGTAGCTACTGTGCCAACATTACTACATGAGTGGTACCCAGATTGTTTAAACAGCAGGCAAATGTACTTTTTCAAGTGAATGTCTGATTTTAGGATTTGTCCTGGCATTCTTTAGGGTCAGAAAAGACTTAGAAAAAAATATTCAAAAAAGAAGTCCTTGAGAAGAAATCAGAAGATATGACATTTAAAAAATACTGTCTGAAAATTCCACTGATGGCAAAAGGCAATGCTTCAGACCAGAGCAGGGGTCAGAGAGGTCTGTCAGAGGAATTTGCCTGTGGAATGCTGTCCAAGCTGAAAATGATGTAGAGCGGCAGCAGTCAGATAAGAGAAAGGAGAGCAGGCACAGTTAGGAAGCAGGTGGCACAGTCATGGATTTGAGCCGGGGCATCTCCTTGAGATAGAAAATACAGGATTCCAGTAGAAGTAGTCTTAAAACGGTTGTAAAATGCCTTGACAGCTTGATGGATGTGGACTTCATATATATATTTTTCCCAACGTAAAGAATGAGATCCTATAAAAGCATTTCCTAACTAGGAAAAGGACTATCTGTGTAGACTAACTGAATGGATCCGGGCCCCATGCCACCTGCTGCCGGTGCCCACAATATGCCTGCTTACACTGATGTACTGTGGGTGTTTCAAGCCTTCCTTTAATGGCAGTGGTGATACTGTGTTGTTTTCAGCCTTCTTGAAACCTTGTTGCATTTTGAGAACTCTTTTTGATATTGGTTATTGGAGCCAGTGGTAAGGATGCCCGCTGGCAGAAGGAAAACTCAGGCTGCACGAGAGCCTGTCAGTGGCTCCCATCAGAGGCCGGGCGGGTGCCTGAGCCACAACCATTCCTTGAAAAGCCTACGGCAGTTGCTTGCTGCTGTCAATAATGGTAATTATAGTTACAGAGCACCGTCCCCTGAGGAGCTCAAAGCACTTCATAGACGCTGTGGCATTGATCCTCATAACATGAGTGTAACAGGGAGAAGGAGCCAGCCTTGTCAGCATCTTATAGATGGGGAAGCTTCACCGAGGGAGGCAGAAATGACTTTCCATTTCTGTGGAGCAGAGTATGGCATAGAGGTTTTATGAATCTTGATGTGTGTGCTAATCGCCCCTCTAAAATGCACCACCCCTAGATCAGCTTTTCTTAATGAGCATGTCAACATCGGTGTATTGTAAAGCCTTTGACTGCTCCATAATGGAAAGACATTTAAGGATAATTTAGTGTTTTTTCTTTTATTTGTATTTTTACCATAAAAGCTATAGGGTAGCTTATTGTTACAAGGTTATATTCAAGTAAAGGTAAAAGAACAAAGGCCAAATGTCATGTAATGGGCATGGAGAGAGGGGCAGGGGTAAGAAAACGGTGGTGGAAAATGGCCACGAAAACCATTTACTGTAATTGAGCATAGCATTTAGCTTTGAGAGTCCTGGAAGCCAAGGCTAAAAGGGAAACAGGATGACTTATAAAGGTCTCTATTTAATAAAATAAATATGCTATGAGACAGAGGAGTTTAGGTGTATAAGCTCAAGTAGACAAGTTAGCTGAGGAATAAAGGTTTAATTTTGCATCTTCTGAAGGCGATCCTAAGGCCAAGTCACAAAGAGTGGTTGCTCACCCCAAAACTACACACATATACACACACACATACACGCACCATAGACCCTCACATTCCTGTACTTAAAAGCTGAAGATGAAATGTGGTCAAAATTAACATCCAGGGCAGACTTGAAAGGGGCACTGGGAAAAGAAAGCTTTAAGTGGCCACTTGGTAACTGACAGGTGGAAGGCAGTGGAGGGAACATTTTTGCCAGATATTAGCCTCTATCTTTCTGCAATATTCTATGATAACCCATAGATTCTTCTTGCGCCAGCTATTTCAGTCTCCTTCTTCCTGACTTACAGTGTTGCCTGGATGTCTAGAATCCTCAGCTGTGCGTGACCCTTGGGGGCAGTTATCCGAACGTATACCCCAGGGGCAAGCTCTGATCTCCAAATGACACCAAATCCAGGAAGGGTTCTTTGCTCACTGTTACTGCAAAATAACCAGG